CCTCCTATCGTGTGAATGACATCAGAGCCCTTTTGATGTGAGATAGAACATGCTCTGTAACCATTCTGTGAAGAGATGGTGTTTGTAATGAGGCATTCCTGCTGGTGGCCCCCAGAGGTCCCCATTTACAACCACTTAATATTGCTTTGGAGCCCTGGTGGTGCAGTGGTTAAGAGCTATGGCTGCTAACCAAAAGGTCAGCAGTTCAAATCCACCAGCTGCTCCTTGGAAATCTTTTGGGGCAGTTCTACTCTGTCCTAGAGGGTCGCTATGAGTCAGAATTCACTTGACAGCAATGGGTTTGGTTTGGTTTTTGTAATATTATTTTGTTGGGCTTCTCACTAAAAATTGTCAAGCTCTCCCTGACATCCTTGGATATCATTCAGTTAATGGTTATGTAGAGAAAAGGGCCCCTATCTTCATGAACACTTGGACTAATAAGGGGAATTGGCAGTAGGCATTCTACCCTGAGAGAATGGAAGAACTGGGAAAGAGAAAAGGAGCCTAGTCAACAGTTATGGCCGTTAGAAGTGGGCGATTGATGTGAAACAATGAAAAAAGAGTGGTTAATAAAAAGCGTTCGTATTTATCTAATTCACACTAGGAATAAGTGTTCTGATCCCTTTCTCAGGACACATGTCTATGGCTGAAAAGGGTAATTCAGTAGGCAATCACAGTTTGAGAGCATCCAGTTCCTTCCGATTTGATTACTAAGCAATCTTCTGAGGTGAATTAGGTTTCCTCAGTAAATTTTCTTTCTGAGCAGTATAATAACCAGCTGTCACCATTTTATTTCTCTTATCTTGTTCAAACCCCTGCTGAGAATTTGCATTTCCAGCAAGTTCCCTGCTGAGAATTTCCATTTCCACCCCAGATATACTGGATCAAAATCTACATTTTAACAAGATGCCCAGGTGATTCTTATGTATAACTTCCTGGGAACTTGTTAGAAATGCAGATTCTCAGCAGGGCTTCTAACCTGTTCAAAGCCCTGCTGTTCTCACTGTGAATTGGCCTTTTGATTTGTTTCTTCTGTGGGCAGTTCGTTCAGTTATCAGGAATTAGTTCTTCCTGGGTGTTGTGGATTGAAGTTGTGTCCTCCAAAAATGTGTGTCAGCTTGGTTAGGCCATGATTCCCAGTACTGTGTGGTTGTCCACCATTTCGTCATCTGACGTGATTTTCCTATGTGTTGTAAATCCTACCTCTATGATGTTAATGAGGCAAGACTCAATCTACAAGATTAAGTTTTATCTTGAGTCAATCTCTTCTGAGATGTAAAAGAGAGAAGCAAGCAGAGAAACAGGGGGACCTCCTACCACCAAGAATGAAGAACCAGGAGAAGAGCACATCCTTTGAACCTGCCGTCCCTGCACTGAGAAGCTCCTAGACCCGGGGAAAATTGATGGCAAGGACCTTCTGCCAGAGCCAACAGACAGAAAGCCTTTCCCTGGAGCTGGCGCCTTAAGTTTGGACTTCTAGCCTCGTACACTGTGAGAAAATAAATTTCTCTTTGTTAAAGCCATCCACTTGTGGTATTTCTGTTATAACAGCGCTAGATAACTAAGACACTGGGCCAGCTGAAAAAATCAAGTATCTAGACCTGCAAGCCTAAGGCTCTAAATCCTAGAACTAAATCAAGACTCCACAGTCTTATAAATCCCCCAGCTCCCCTTTTAGCAGCTAACCTTATCGTGTGAACATCTACCACAAGGATACCTTCTGCTTAAGTCTTTTAGTTCCATGGAATGTTGACTACTCCTTCAACCTAACTCACATACTGGGAGGAAGGATGATAATCCACAGTAAGCCAAAGCTGCAGGAAGAAGAAACAGACTCCTCCCGCCCTCCTGAGCAACCTCATCCCCCTCAAGCTGGCAGCTTTGAACACTAAGCCATAGTCCAGTTTGTGGACAAATTATCTTTCTCTCTGCTACACAAGATAAGATCCTTAGTCTGTTTCTGTCTACTTTCACTCCACCCTCACCCTCAGATGTAAACCCTCCCCGGCACTACTAAGCTACCTCAGGAGTTATCTTGTGGCATCTCCTCGTCTGAATATGAGAAAAATCTAAAGAGATCAAGTGACTCTGAACAGAGTTTTTCTGCGGCTCTGCCTTGCGCCTTCTCATTGCTCTGGTACTTGTATCTGCTGACTTAGGGGACACTGTGGTGAATATTGGGGGATGACAGAGGTAAAGTGAAAGATCAAATGTAGAAAAAATGACAAGAAAGGCTGGTAACAAGAAATGAAGTCACAGGAATGAACTAAAGAAGTTACACTGACTGGTTTTTTTAAGTTAACATTGCTTCTAGGTGAATTTCATCTGATGTTTATAGAGAATATTTCATTGCTGGTTGATTCACAGATAGAAACTAATCTTTGTCTTTTCTCTGAGCTTTAGTTGGTTGACAAATGTGTGTAAACAATAATCAGAATTTATGGGTATAGGTAGACCAAGTTTGAAGGTAAATGGGAGAGAAGGCAGTGGAAATTGCCTAGTCCTTCCTGACTTGTCTTTCATGAGAATCCAGTTCTCACATGATTGCTGGTGTTCAGCAGTAAATGTCAGAGAAAAGAAAAATGGTAAGAGAGAACAGATTTTCCGCTGAGGTCTGGGGGAAAAAATGATGCATAATAACATAGTGAGATGAGGTCACTGCTTATCCCAAGGGCCACAGTCAGAAGAAGACAAAGTGGCTGGTGCAAAACCAGTAGAGAGGAGGGGATGGAGCACAGCCAGGGGCTCGAGCATCCATGGAGGTGCTTCCCTTGCCTTGTTAGTTTATGGTGAGTGGCTCCAACCCATGGGGACCTCATGCATAACAGAATAAAACATCACCAGGTCCTGCCCCATCTTCATGATCATCAGTGTGCTCAAGTCCATTGTTGTAGCCGCTGTGTATTTTGAGTGCCTTCCAGCCTAGGCGGGCTCATCTCCCAGCACTATATTGGACAATATTCTGTTGTGATCCATAGGGTTTTCATCGGCTAATCTTCAGAAGTAGATCACTAGGCCTTCTTTCCTAGTCTGTTTTAGGAAGCTCCGCTGAAGCCTGTCTACCATAGATTACCCTGCTGGTATTTGAAATACCAGTGGTATAGCCTCCAGCAAGCCACTGCAGTATGACAGACTGACAGGTGATAGTCCCTTGCCTTAGAAGTTTGAATATACATCCACTCCTCACTTATCAACTGTCTCAATATCCAGCATTTCGCATTTACAACAATAGTAAAAAATCTACTATCCAACCATTTTGCGCATTAACGATGTACGTCTGGCAGTAACAAATGCCACAGTGCTCCCTTGTGTCCCTGTGTATCCTGCTGTGCATACCCCTCTGGTAGAATCTTACTTTCCTTGGTCTCCCTGACTCATCTTTTTGGCATCGCGCCTCATTTGCCATCCTACACTCACATTTCGCATTGGCCAAGGCATCTCCACTGGTGCGAGCAGTCACTGGCTAAAATTGCTGTCTGTATCTGACAGCTCAAGTTTGCCAATTCCCCACCTCCGAGTTGCCAAGAGACAGAATTTTGCCCAGTAACAGACGGCTCTCACTCTCTGTTGGCCACGGTGCCTATAGCCTGCTCCCAAGAGTTGGCCTGGGAGATTCGAGCTCCTCCATAGCCCGCAGTCGTGGCTGTTCCAGCCGCAGCTGCTTTGGCCCGGGTCCTGGTCAGGGGTCTGCAGGAGTGGGGAGTTGGGGCTGACAAAGAGGGCAGAGGGCATCCCACGAATGTGGCTGGGCACTACCCAGTGTCAGCTGGTTCTGTAGAGTTGAGGGAAGAGCCCTTCCTTGGAGTGAACTTTGGAAAAGGAGGTGCCCACAGCGAGGGCTCCTGTCAGGTGGGGACCCTCGGAAGTGTAGTGAGGGTTGGTGGAACTGAGGTGCATCTTAAGTGGGTGCCTGCGAGGACGAGTTACGGCTGGGGTACGGAACCCGCATTTTAAACCTCAGGGTAGCATCTGGGGCTGTGCAGCTAGGGGTCTCCATGGTTTTCTGATGTCCTCCCTGGGCTCAGGGTACTAATGGGGGTGTTTACAGCTCCACCCCAGTACAGACCTCTCAGAGTCTCTGGCAGAATCGCAGGCTAAGGAGTCGGTGCCAGCATGCGTGCCCACCACCCTGGCCCAGAAATTGGTGGGGAGGGGGCAGTTAGGGCAGGAGGCAGTGGGCGAGAGAATAAAAGGAAGGTGGAGTCCTTGGGAATGCGCCGGCGGAAGGGACAACGGCTCCAGACAGCCTTTTAAAACTGCAATGGTTGTCAGGATATACCTCTTGGATGGCACTTGCAACTTTAATTACCTGGCTGGAGGAGTCGAGGGTACACTGGCTGTGATAGTTAAAGTTATGTGTCAACTTGGCTAGGCCATGATTCCTAGTGGTTTGGCAGTTATGTAATGATGCAGTTTGATATTTATGAACTGATGTAGTCATCCTCCATTTTCACATAATGCCAATTTTCACATAATGAACTGGTCTTTGGAACCAGTAAGGGAGTGGGTGTATTAACATCTCTTATGACTTATCCCTCTGAGGACTGTTGGCAGCCCTGTAACTTACACCTGGGTCATGAGGAAGTTGGCAGCCAGAAGTGCTTAGCTGTCAATCAGTAACTGAAGGGTGAAGCCTTAGTGTACTTACACTACCAACAGGCCTCCTAGTCCCATCTCCCTTTCCTCTTGCTGACTTTTTTTTTCCTTGACGCTTTATCATGTTCTTTCCAGTGAGCGGGAAATGCCAAGAAGACCATAGTAATGTCAGGCATTCTGAGTTTACTATATTATACCTCCTGAAGGGTAGCAGCATGAGAGTGGAGCCTGAGGTGAAAAGGAAAAGGGGTTATGGATAGAAACTAAATTCTCATATTCTTAAATATGACTTAAATACAGTTGAAAACTTTGATTATAATTGAACAGTTTCTCCCCCCGTCCAGAGAAAGCAAGGTGAAAGTCCCTGTGCTGTGCTAACTCAGCATGTTTCTCCCTTCTTTCAGTGACCATGCAGCAGGTGGCCAAGACAGTAGCTAAGGTGGAACTCTCGGACCATGTGTGTGATGTGGTGTTCGCACTTTTTGACTGTGATGGTGAGTGAGGCCCTCTGGAGTCAGCAGGGAAAACCGAGCAATGTCTCAGCTCTCAGCATCATGACATTGAGAAATACAACCCTGGGCCTGGTTTGTGTTTTCCATTTCTTCTTGTTATTCCAGTTTGCCTGTAGGCCGAAAATAATCTATGGCCATAGAATCTTAACAATGGAAACAGAAATATTAGACCAAGCTTGTTGCTTAGTAGACTAGATGCGCTCAGATATCTGAGTGTGTCTAGGCAGAAGTTGGTGCCGACCTCTCCACCTTCCGGGGCACATTTCATTCAGAGTCCATCTGCTCAGCATTCCAGTTCCGCACAACGCTTTTGTGTCTGAGGCCTGCTTAGTAGTTTAGCCCATTTAAGACCTCCTTGTTTTGCTCTGGCATAATTATTTCTCAGCTGTGTTGACTGATACAGTACTACTCAGACTAATAGAGGGTCCCTTTTTTTCAGTGCTTACTGTGAGCCAGGCACTGGGCCAAGCTGCTTATTTAATCCTCTGACGGGAGGTGTTATTATTGTTAACTGCATTTTTCAGATGAGGAAGCTGAGATTCAGAGAGGTTAAGTAATTTTCCCAGGATCGCAAAGGTCAGGATTTGAACCAAAGCTGCGCTGCCTCCCTCTATACTATATTACTGCATTGCTTGCCTCTCAGCCAGGATTTGTAGTTCTGTCCTCCAGGAAGCAAGGCTAATGGAATTTAAGAACTGGCTCAAAAGCTCCAGCCTTTGCAAAACATTCCTTTTTGATCACAACATAATGAATCACTCTGGCCTTTTCATTCCTTAGCTTGCTTTAAATTTTTCTGTGTTAGTACATATTACACTCTGTCTCTGGATACGTAACTTTCCTACTAAATTGTGAGATTTTAAGGGTAGTTACAAGTCTTGTTCACCACTGGACTTCCCGTAGAACCTGGAGGAGTACTTTGCACCTTAATGAAGGTGTTCATTAACGCTTAAGTTATTTCATCCAGCACCCACAAACCAAGGTCTGACTCAGTAGAAGCCCCAGGGCTAGGACAAGGAAATGACCTCATCCTCAAGTTAGGTGAGTTATTCTCTAGAGCTGCCCTGTCCAGTTAGATAACATTAGTCACATGTGGCTATCTATATTTAAAGTAATTAAAATTTAATAAAATTAACTCAGTGTCTTAGTCTAGCTAGCCACGTTTTAAGTGTTCAGTAGTCACATGTGGCAGTGGCTACTGTATTGAACAACATAGACATAAAACATTTCCACCACCACACAGAGTTCTTTGGGATGGCACTGCTGTAGAGATACGAACTTTCCCGAGATTTTCTTTTTACTCTAATAACTTCTAGGTGGATTGAATTTCCTCCTCAAAAAAAAAATTTTTTTTATTTTTATAATTTTCGAAGCTGTGCCTACATTGAGGCACCATCCTAGAGGTGGTCTGTGAAGTGAATATGGGAACAAAGGCAACCAGCCTCTCCAGTTCCCACTTCTCCTAGGAAGTCCTGGGAAAGGATATTGATGTTTGATTTTCCAGCCACTTAGAAGGAGGCTGTGTCAATAACCACTTGAAACACCCTAGGAAAATCACTTACCATTTCTAAACCAAACCAAACCCGTTGCCATTGAGTCGATTCCAACTCATAGCGACCCTATAGTAGAACTGCCCCATGGAGTTTCCAAGGAGCGCCTTTTGGTTAGCAGCCATAGCACTTAACCACTACACCACCAGGGTTTCTTACCATGTCTAGGGCTTATTGATCTAGAAAAAAAGGAAGTATATATAACTATAAAGCCACTGTTGTTTCTACAAGTCCATGATCTTAGGTCAAAATGCCTGAGGACTGAGAATTCCAATTTTCAAACAGACTTGTTAATCACAGAATTGTAGTGTTGCACTCACAGATCACACATGCACACAAATGACACACAGTCACATTCCTGGTTAATGGTTAACATAATCCAGAGTGGTCAGCTCTGGCCTTAGGGAAGCAGGAAGCCAGACCCATAGGAGTTTGAGTGAAATGATCTCAGGTTTTTTCCATTTTCAAGCTTCTTTTCATACAAAGTATAAGAAAGAATCCTGTTCAGACCTTTCTGTTCGCTTAATTACATTCTTGATAATTGATTTTATTGATTATTTTTCAACTAAGGCAGGCCAGTTTTTAACTTTTTCTCTCAAAATATAATATATGTACAGAAAAGAGCAAATATCGTTAAGTGCACAGCTTGATGAATTTTTTGCAAGTAATGGGTATTATTTATTTATTCCAAGCCCAACCATTTTTTGGACTTAAAAGCTTATTCTTTTTGGGAGCATAACCAATCTGTAGTTGAGGACTTTTTTTTCTTCCAACAGTTTCTACATGTACAATATAGTGACATTGATTACATTCTTAGAGTTGTGCATCCATTCCCACCCTCCTTTTCTGGGTTGTACCTCCCTCATCAACATAAACTCACTGCCCCGAGGTTCAGCTTGATGAATTTTTAAAAACCAAATGTGCCTGTGTAGTCAGCATCTTCCGGAACCATCACATTACCAGGACCACGGAGTCCCCTGGCCCCGCATGCCAGTTGCGTCCCTCCCCCAGGGAAGCCCCTTTCCTGACTTCTAACTAGATTACCTGTTTTTGTACTTTATAGAAATAAGCCCAGGTGGGTTCGGTTTTTTTTTTTTTTAAATCATGCTGTGAGGCATCCTATCTCTGAGGCTCCTCAGCCAGAAAACATGGGCCAGGTTAGGTTTTCAGGTACTTTCTTCAGAAGTAAACCATCTATTCCCTCTTTCCACGCTCTCCCCAGACTGATCATTAGTAAAGGGCTGTTTGTTGGTTTCCGTAACAGCTGCCATTCTTTAACTGGCAGACATTTATTTACTCCTGGGCTTTCTGGTCAAAGGACAACAGTTTCTCTCCCATGGGAGTGGCTGCTGTTCCGTGTGGCTTGAGGTGATCTCCAGTCAAACCAGATGCTCTACAAGGTCTCTCCCAGTCCTGAGGGTCTACCACTGAAGGGGTGGAGTGGCAGGCTAAAGGGAGGGAAATAGGCTGAACCCAAAAGGCTGGATTTGGATTTTCACCAGGAAAACTCCTCATCATCTGTCACCTGGATTACTACACGGCGTCCTAGCTACTCCCACAATCCAGTTCTGACACCCCTGACCCATCCTCATATGCAGCCAGAGAAATCAGCCCCAAATGGAAATCTGTCTACATCTTACTCCTCTGCTTCCAGTCTTTTCCTGGTGCTCCACTGCCTAGAAGATAAAATGCAAGACCTTTAGGATGAGTACAGGATCCCTGACGACCTGTCTCCTGCCTACCTCTTCAGTCTGCTTGCCATACTCCTGCCTCTTGTGTCCAGCCATACCTAACTACTTAGTTACCCAATGAAGCCCTGGTGGCGCAGTCGTTAAGAGCTCAGCTGACTGCTAAACAAAAGGTCGACAGTTCAACTCCACCAGCTGCTCCTTGGAAACCCTATGGGGCAGTTCTCCTCTGTCCTGTAGGGTCACTATAAGTCAGAATCGACTCGACAGCAGCAGGTTTGGTTGGGTTTTTCTTGTATACCCCGGGAGTATTTCAAGGTCAAGGACAGGGTCTTTTTATCTCTTTATTCTCAGCACATAATACAGGACCTGGCATATAGTATATTCTCATTTAATTATTGTCACAATACACTGAGCTGTCACTGAGTTACAGTCAGAAACATCAGGGGCAAATCAGTTAATTTTAAGCCAAGAGAATTAAGTGTGGTTGCGAGAGCCTGGGCTTTGGACCCACAGTGTGAACAATGGGCCTTTCTTGGTGGCTTCATTCCAAGGCCTTCACTCATCTGTTATGTTTGCCTCTTCCTCTAGGCAATGGGGAGCTGAGCAATAAGGAATTTGTTTCCATCATGAAGCAACGGCTGATGAGAGGCCTGGAGAAGCCCAAAGACATGGGCTTTACCCGCCTCATGCAGGCTATGTGGAAATGTGCACAGGAAACAACCTGGGACTTCGCTTTCCCCAAGCAGTAACCCAGAACTGCAAGAGGGGGCACCTCCTGCACCCTAGCACCCTGGACCCCCTTGAGCAGAGCCTAGGCACAGCCCTTCCTGCTGCTACGTGTGGAAGTAGTGCTCCCTTCCCCTGGAGATGACCTCAGGGTTCCCCCAGTTTCCCTTCTCCACCCTCCCCCGTCCCAGTGTTCTGCTAGGCCCTGATTCCACTCAATGATCATCCCACAGGTTCTCGAAAACATAAACATGTCCTAAAGCTCAGACCTTTGGCACCTCCAGCGGCATTAGCATTCAGCACCCTGTGGATAAAGAATACAGGGAGCAAGCCCACGCCTGCTGCCCTAGGAAGCAGCCAGTTCTCGGATCATTTTTGATGATGAACACTCTTTGCTTTTCCTCCTGCTGGTGTTTTTCAGCTGCAAGTTGGAAAAACCCCTGGCAGGCAAAAGAAAGCCAGCGACGACTGATAATCAGGGTGACCCAGGCATCCTGGGCTAGAGGAGGGATTGGTGTCAGTCCCTGGGGTGGTTCTGAGGCCTGCTCCAGGCAGGGGCAGCGCACAGTGGGAGCTGAGCAGATTCAGAATTTAGAGCAGTTGCTTCGTGGCTCTCTCTGCTCCATTCTTTTCCTCTCAGGCTTCTTCCACCCTCCACCGTGGCTCTGTGGCTCTGTACTTAGCGAGCGGCCATGACTGAGTTCCTGCCCCTGTCAGTCCCCTCTGGGAGCGTGCCTCTGAAGCCAAGGCTGGCTCACAGCCCGTCTGCCTTCTGTCTTACCCACTTGTAAAATATCACTTTAATTATACCAGTTTGCAATAAACCCCCCAAAGGCTCCTGTCTCCTTTATTTTAGGATCCTCTGGGGCCCTGTTCATTCCACTGCCCTGCTGAGTTTGAAATTCTGCCAGCAGCAGACCCATTTTCCTCCTACCAGAGTGTGGGTCCTTCTGATGAAAGGCAGCTTTTGGCACAAACAGAAAGTGAGGGCATTTGGAGGTTAGTAGCGGCATCCTCCCAGCACAGTTTGGTTAGCGTTTCATCCTGGGACAAGTTACAGTGATTGGTTACTTGTGTCCCATGATAAGGAACGAAGACGGGGTGGTGGAGTGTGCGAGCAATCATCTGGTTTGGGGACCTAAGAACCACAGCAACTAAAGTTGTATGACGGACCCAAATCCTGGTTACAACCTGTTATAACTCTTCCACTAACTCACTGTGGCCTTAAGCAAGTCATTTCCCTTGGCAAAATGACAGACAGGGTTGAGCTTAATGGGCCCTAAGATTTCTTCCAGGTCCAAAAGCCTTGGCTTCAGCTCTCCTCCAGACTTCATGCAGCCTCCAGACCCTAAGCTGACTGCCCCTGGCATGGCAGTCTCTTGAGGCTGATGTAGTAGAACCATCACAACAAAAACCCAGTGTTCCTGCGAGGCCACTTGCTTTGAATGTTGGTGGGGCGTGCTTGTCACCCAGAGGAGAGCAGAGGCCTGGATCTGGACCGGAGGCTCTACAAAAAAGGTACCAACCCCAGCATTTTCTCCAGGGCAATTTAAGAACCTCACTTCCAACATCCTTTCTGGGAGCAGATCAGATTATCTGCCACTCACCTACTGCATCTACCTTCCACCTTCCCTCTCTTGGGGTGTTCCTAGTATCCAAACATAGGCTTTGCTTGCTCATTGCCCTAGGTCTGAGGCGTTGGCAAAACGTGAGCTTCTCTTAAATTTCTCCCAGAATCCCAAAATTACTCTTCCCCTGATCCTCCCGCTCTTTCTTCACATCCTTTGTGAGCTACAGGAGGAGACCTGCTGACTGACCTGGCTTTGTTAGAAGCTGAAAGCCAGAATGTGGCAGGCTAGGGTAAGGATCTCACTGGCAACATCTTGAAACCCAGGGTCCAGGTGCTCAAGAAGATGGGACGGCCTCATAGCTTTGGCCTAATAGGGTAAATGTTCCAGGTAAGAGGTACAAGCCAAAGGAAGGCCTTGGACGAGGTAGCATGTGAGCAGGCTGAATGGGATTTTCATAGGCAGAGTTGGGGGCGGGCTGGGGAGCATTTGGAACACACAAGGCTAATTCATGCTTCACTACTTTTTATTCAAATTGTTTCTTCTACCTGCATGGAGTAACCTTCCGCCCCCCTTTAGACTCAGCTCAAATGTCCCACCCTTAAGAAGACTTCCTTGATCCTTTCCTAGACAGTGTTAATGGCCCCTCCTCTGCCCCCTAAAGGATCACTTGCCCACCCCTAACCACACAACTGGAATTCTGTATAATTCAGACCCAAAACTGAGAGGATCAAAGAAACAGCCCACTACCAAAAATGAATTTAAACATGACCACTGTAAAAGTGATACCTCTAGCAATGCCTCAATAAACTCCTCTCACACCCCCAGAACTGTTTTCTACTTTGTTGTTGTTGTTTTCTGCTTTTTAAAAAAATTAAACATTCTCCAGTTCTAGCCCTTAGGCTTGCAACCCTTCCCCTGCCCAAACTCTTTTCATCTCCATATTCTGCACCATAAAGCCCAAAAGAAACCAACTAAATAAAAGGCAAGTGGGACAGTCCCCAGAGGTGGGGGAGGGAAAGGAACTCAGGGGAACCAGGCTGCTGGGCTTCTTTGACCTTGAGCTCCAGCATTATCCAAGAGAATAAGCAGGGGAATATGGAGAGACAGTTACTAAGGAAAAAGAGGCTTAAGAATGTACACGACCTTTCAAAATCTTTATTTTAGTAGCTTTTAGTGCCCCACCTAGTTTTAGCTCAGGGTGAAGCATATACTCAGTAGCCTCATCCAGCTAAGCACCCAAGGAGAGGTCCAGGCAGTGGCTGCTACCAGACCAGGAGGGACAGCAGCGTGGGAACTAGGAGCCAGGTGCTCTGCCAGCAGCATCCTCTCCAAGCCCAAGCAGGGTAAGGTGACCCCACAAGCAGCTCTTACAAGGGAAGAGGGAGCAGAGTTCAGCTTTCAGGCTTTAGCTGCCACCTGCTGGCAAGAAGGTTCAGTGCAGGGACTCTGGCCTGGGGCCAGGGGAGGGAGACCGAGTTCAGCCTCCAGCCAGCCCTAGCCCTGGGAATAGGCCTTCCAGGGACCTGGGCGGCAAGGAGCAGGCAGATGGAATGACCAGCCAGGGATGGAGCATAACCATGAAGACGGACACTATGGATATGAATACAAAAGGAGGAAAGGAGCAATGCTGTGTATTGTTCTCTGTGACCCCAGGAAGGGAAGTTTTACCAGTCAACGAGGGGCAGTGGTTCTCTGCTGATCCCCTACTATGTGCCAGTCAGGGAGTTTACATCTTAGCGAGGAAACAAGAAGCAACAAGGACAAGTGTTCTTTGAGAGCACTCAGGAAAGCAGAAAGGCTGTCTAACCCTGACGATCCTGACTGCTAAGATGTGACTGTGGAACGTTAAATTAACCTCAGGGCAAAAATCAAGACCCCAGTTTGACTGAGACCTACAAGAAAGGTATGAGGGCAAGGTTTCCATCTTGGGTTAGCTGGAGCGATGTTGTAAACAGCATGGGTAATTACTGTAATTAATGTCACTGAATTGTACACTAAAAAATGGTTAAAATGGCAAAATTTTTGCCATGTGTATTTTACCACAATAAAAATTTTTAAAATAAATGCATATAAAATACATGTAACTACAGATACTTCAGGGAAGGCTCCCCAGAAAAAATGATTTTTTTTAAAATTAATTTAAAAAAAAAACAGACCTGAGAATTGAGTTGTTGTTGTTGGGTGCCATCGAGTTGGTTACACATCTATAGGATAGGGTAGAACTGCCCCATCGAGTTTCCAAGGAATGGCTGATGAATTTGAACTGCCGCCTTTTGGTTAGCAGCCGAGCTCTTAACCACTGCGCCCTCAGGGTTCCAAGAGTTGAGGAGGGTTAGCAAAGGGGAAAGGAGGGTGGTCCAGGCAGAGGGTACCAAGAGCGCAAAGGTCCAGAGGCCAGAAAAGCATGTTTCACTCAGGGAACTGAAGTTCTAGGGAGTATCCGGTGCACAGATGGCAGCCAGGATCTTGTCATCCACATTCTGTGACCCAGGAGTTAAGATGGAGGCCAATCCCAAAAATAAATAAATAACTGAAAAAATACATTTGTGCATTTTTTTCCTTTTTTTGACTTTTATTGAGCCATACTGTAATTACATTGTTTTGTTGGGAGGCAATAATAGCTTACTCAGCATAATTAGAGCTTTGCTTTAAAAAAAAAATTTATTGTGGTAAATGTATATGACAAAACATTTACCATTTCATCTACATTTTAGTGTACATTTCAGGGACATAAATTACATTTACCATGTTGGGCCACCATCACCACTACCCATTTCCAATTTTTTCATCACCCTAAACAGAAACTCAATAACATTTGTGCATTTTAAAACGCAGTTGTAAATAACTCACACCTGTTGCTGTAGTGTCAATTCTGATTCCTAGTGACCCTACAGGACAGAGGAGAACTGCCCCACAGGGCTTCCAAGGCTGTAAATCTTTACAGAAGCAGACTGCCACATCTTTCTCCCACGGAACAGCTCGTGGGTTTGAACTGCCAACCTTTTGGTTAGCAGCCAAGCTCTTAACCACTGTACCACCAGGGCTCCAAATAACTCATAGGGCATATAAAAAAATCATCGGAACTTGAAAATTCTTACAACTGAATGATAGTGAAAATACTACATCTGAATCTCGTGAGACAGCTAAAGGGAAGCTTACAAACTTCTTAGCAAACTCCCATATTCATTTGCTGAAGACAGCTGACAATGAACTAAGCATCTGCCTCCAGAAGTTGGAAAAAGAACAATAAAATAAAACCCAAAACAATAACAAAGAGCAAAAATAAATGATTTTAGGGGATAGTGGTGATGGTTGCATAACATGGTGAATGTAACTAATGTCACTGAATTGTACACTGAAAAATAGCTAAAATGGCAAAATTTTTGCTACATATATTTTATCACACGTCTGTCAGTTTGTTGTACTGTGGGAGCTTGCGTGTTGCTGTGATTATGGAAGCTATGCCACCAGTATTCAAATACCAGCAGGGTCAGTTATGGCAGACAGGTTTCAGCTGAGCTTCCAGACTCAGACTAGGAAGAAGGACCTGGTGGTCTGCTACTGAAAAGAATTAGCCAGTGAAAACCTTGTGAATAGCAGCGGAATATTGTCTGATACAGTGCCGGAAGATGAGCCCCTCAGGTTGGAAGGCGCTTAAAAGACAACTAGGGAAGAGCTGCCTTCTCAAAGCAGAGTCGACCTTAATGATGAAAGCTTGATGGACTCAAGCTTTCGGGACCTTCATTTGCTGATGTGGCTCGACTCAAAATGAGAAGATACAGCTGCAAACATCCATTAATAATTGGAATGTGGAAAGTACAGAGTATGAATCTAGGAAAATTGAAAATGGTCAAAAATGAAATGGAATGCATAAACATCGATATCCTAGACATTAGTGAGCTGAAACGGACTGGTATTGGCCATTTTGAATTGGACAATCATTTGGTCTACTATGCGGGGAATGACAACTTGAAGAGGAATGGTGTTGCATTCATCCTCAAAAAGAACACTTGAAGATCTATCAAGAAGTACAACGCTGTCACTGATAGGATAATATCCATATGCCTACAAGGAGGACCAGTTAATATGACTATTATTCAAATTTACGCAGCAACCACTAAGGCCAAAAAGGAAGAAATTACCAACTTCTGCAGTCTGAAATTGATCGAACATGCAATCACGATGCATTGATAATTACTGGTGATTGGAATGCAAAGGCTGGAAATAAGGATCAGTAGTTGGAAAATATGGCCTTGGTGATAGAAGTGATGCAAGAGATCACATGATAGAATTTTGCAAGACCAACGACTTCTTCATTGCAAATACCTCTTTTCACCAGCATAAATGGCAACTACATACCTGGACCTTGCCAGTTGGAATACACAGGAATGAAATCAATTACTGTGTGGAAAGAGATGATGGAAAAGCTCAATATCATCAGTCAGAACAAGGCCAGGGGCTGACTGTGGAACAGACTATCAACTGCTTATATGCAAGTTCAAGTTGAAAGTGAAAAAATTAGAACAAGTCCACAGAACCAAAGTACGACCTTGGGTATATCCCACCTGAATTTAGAGACCATCTCAAGAATAGATTTGACATGTTGAAAACTAATGACCAAAGACTAAACGAGCTGTGGAATGACATCAAGGACAACATACATGAAGAAAGCAAGAGGTCATTAAAAAGACAGGAAAGAAAGAAAAGACCAAAATGGATGTCAGAAGAGACTCTGAAACTTGCTTGAAAGTCGAGTAGCTAAACCAAAAGGAAGAAATGATAAAGTAAAAGAGCTGAACAGAAGATTTCAAAGACCAGCCCAAGAAGACAAAGTATTAAAATGACATGTGCAAAGACCTGGAGATAGAAAACCAAAAGGGAAGAACATACTCGGCATTTCTCAAGCTGAAAGAACTGAAAAAAAAATTCACGCCTCAAGTTGCAATGTTGAAGGATTCTATTGGGAATAAACAATGCAGGAAGCATCAAAAGAAGGTGGAAGGAATACACAGAGTCACTATACCAAAGAGAATTGGTCGACATTCAATCATTTCAGGAGGTACATATGATCGGGAACCGATGGTACTGAAGGAAGAAGTTCAAGCTGTACTGAAGGCACTTGTGAAAACCAAGGCTCCAGGAATTGATGGAATATCAATTGAGATGTTTCAACAAATGGATGCAGCGTTGGAAGTGCTAACTCATCTATGCCAAGAGATTTGGAAGACAGCTACCTCACCAGCCAACTGGAAGAGATCCACATTTGTGCCTATTCTCGAGAAAGGTGATCTAATCGAATGCGGAAATTATTGAACAATATCATTAATATCACATGCAAGTAAAGTTTTGCTGAAGATCATTCATAAGTGGCTGCAACAGTAGATTGACAGGGAACTGCCAGAAATTCAAGCCAGATTCAGAACAGGATGTGGATCCAGGGATAT